GCCTTCTTAAATCGAGTAAAGTTCGTTAGTAGAGGTCAGTGTTTTGGGTTGCTCATGTCTCTATTTATAAGTAGGTTTCTAAATTTTTTTCCATTTTTTGTCGCCATGTTTCTTTTATATACTATTTTTTTTATATATAGGCCATTTATTTAAGGCGGTTGTAAATATAGCGTGTTTTTGCTTTGAACAGAGCCATTCTTTAAGTAGAGGTCACGAGTTCAGGCCGAAAAAGCAAGGGGAAATCCCTTTTTGTTTGTGAGTGATTGCCAGTCACGAGTTCAGATCGGGCAAGTCTCGACTTGTTTGTGAGTGATTGCCAGTCACAAGTTGTTTACAGCTGGGGTCAAAAGTTCAAGGTCAGTGAAGCGAGCAAAACGAGCGGCGCTAGTCACGAGTTGTTTACAGCGAGCAAAGCGAGCTGCGCCGGGGTCAAAAGGTGAGCGAGCGTAGCGAGCGGTGCGTGTGATGGGTGAAAGGGGGTGAAAAGGGCGTGTGGTCCAGAACCGGCTATTTCCTACTACTTCCTTCGCATTTCGCTAATCACGGTTTCAAAAACACGCACGCAATATTGCTTCATGCAAGGTTTCCGCTGGTTCCCGGAAGCCCAGACCTAAACAGGGGTATTCAATCGTTCCTTTTGTTGGTAACTGCTACGCTAATTCCTGGCTGTCTATCACACTAATCTTTTATTACGCTTTGACAGTTAAACTGCTGTTTTCCCATCTTCCACGGTTGGAAGCTGGACTGGTGTACCGTTACGAATAACAATAGGACCATAAGCTACGAAGATGTTGACGTGAAAAGTCCGTGAAACTGCTGTGAACTAATCCGCTCCCAAGCTGATCAACTTTCCACCGTGAAAACGGGCTTACATTGCCTTCACAAAATTTCACGGTGATTTATGGTAAAACTGCATTTTCACGGTGTTGAAAGTTCATAGTGTGAAACGGTATTTCCTTCTGTACATATTGGCATTGTTACATTATTATCAGTACTGATGAAGCAGTGGTCATCTGACGGCAAAAGGACTTAGCCCTATTCCACGAAATAAAGAATGAGTCAATTAAATCCACCGAATCCTTGAATTCGTATTCAACGAATTTATAACGTTATGACAAACGTGGATGTAAAGTGTGTAGCACATCATTGACAGTGCTGCTTTCAACAGAGAGGATTTATTAAAAAAAAAAACCAGCACTTGGGTGGCCTGTCAAATTACAAAACCCAACGAAAAGACTTAAACACAGAGAGGATTATAGAGGTCAACTTATAACAACGTCAAAAGACGTCCAACGATGTTGGCGCCAGATTTCTCAAAGTCTTTCTGCATACAACACAAAGACTCAAGTCACCAAGAAGACTCATAAAAACTGCAGCCATACTGTTTCAAAATGGAAGCTGATAAGAATCAGCTGCTCTATAGACGCTCAAAGTATTATAGGTTCGTTGCCGACTTCTACATGTACATCAACGCATTCGTCCATATGCATTGAAACCTCGACGAAATCACATCATATACCGGTATCCCTATCACGGACGATTGCATTCAGGATGGCCTCCGTTAGCTTCAATCGGTAAAAACATTGTAAATCCCGATTTTTCTTTAATTTGATATTTGTGACCTTTGCATCTGCAAGCCGATCTCATCTCCCGATAGAACATGGGCATAATAGCATAGTATGCGTCCTCCTAGCACACCCCTTCCCCGCTCCGCCCACGACCTCGGCTTTTATACAATTTCCGGCTTTCGGCCAAATCTCTTAATTTGAGACCCTTGGTCTACGGAATTACAGCTGTAATCTGCTTCAGACCTGGAACATAATCAAACCCCTCGGTTATGTGACAAACATTTGGCTCGAAATTCATGCACTGGCCTTATTCCAGAAGTGTACACAACACACAGCATCGATACGCTAACTCTGGTTTGCTTAATTCCCACGGCAATGCATGGTATATGGTGGCCTCAAATGGGTTTGGGATCAACCTAACTTAAACCGATTGTATATACTTATCTCAGTATATACAACAACTGCGGCTTTAATATGACCCTTAACAAGCCACACGGGCGTTCCGCCTATTTCTGTCGGACATTTTGGAAAATAAAGCAAACATATACCCCCTATTCTCGTGAAGTCACGACAGATATTTAGATTATAGGATTAAACCTATCGTTACAAATTTACTAAGGCGAAATATGAACAGTATGACGGAATTATGTAACTTTAACATGGTGAACAAGAAATTAAAAAGCAAGCAAAAACTAAATTAGGCACGAATGCGATTTCAAGACTTCACCTTTTCTACCAAATATAGACGTATTTATTTGATCTAAGACCCACCACTGGCAATTAATGACTGATATTTATGTTTTAATGGGCGATTGGGCATCTCAATCCCCACCCCATAATCATACCCCCTCACCCACCCCTTCCGTGTCCAATCCCATCCCCATCCCCACCACACCCGAACACACACCCCTACCGATTAACGACCGTGATTCCAGGCAGAAAAGTGCACATGCCGGCACCCCACCCTCCCTCTTTTCAGTTAATATCCACTATACATGTACCTGTACTTATAAACTACAACTTTTCCAATGAACCAAGACTGGGTTTGGATCAAATTCGTAGAAGCAACTGAACCGTGAGTGAGCAAGATGCAGAACGAAATCCGAGTCCAGACACTCAATTGGCACTCACATCAGCATATCACTGGGACGTCGAGTGTGTCGAAAGGCAGATTCTTGACGAACCTGTGTGTAAAAACAGAAAACGTTGAGGGCGCAGCACATGAGCTCCAGGCAGAGTTCCAATGTCTCCCTGCAAGACGTTGATGGGGATGAGTTTTAAGGGGAAGTTTGAAAAACGCTTTCTGTGAGCATTTTGCATCTTTTCCGTTTTGCCCATACAAAATCTCACCACCTTCACTGTGAATGTCAAGCTTTTAAGTGTTGTCTCAAGCGCAGTTCAATGTAAAATTTTGATACATAGGAAAGCTTTACGTTCATCCGTGTGCAATGAACGTTTACACCTGTCTTTGCATGCAATTTAGTCATGAGTTAATTTTATTCTTGCGCCGCAATTCGAGGCCGATGCGTTTCCAAGTAAAAGACTAATTTTTAGTCACTTTTTTAAATCAAGTTTGATGCAATCTTCCACGAGACACGTTAACAAGTCCAGACAGAACGGGGATGACAAATGCAGATAGAAGACTAAATCATCGATGTATGTCAATATCTTGCATAGCCATAATATGAATGGATTTTAAGACATCCATTTTGAGGGTCAAGTCAAGGCCAAGCTTATTAAAGTAAATGAATTTTGAAACCTACCTTGACAATGATGACGGCAGCCAGTAAGCACACGAAGCAGACGCCGAGAGCGGCTACCGCAAAGATCAAACCTTTAGGGGAACAATACACCAACGGGTAAATTGAAAAAAAAACTCTTGGAGATAGCAAACTTACTTGTTTCGCCCCTACTAGACTCGAACTCAAGTCTGTCGTCGAAATTCGAAAATTACTTCAACCAGTATGCCACGGAACCCTTGTTCTCTATGGAATCCTCCATAGATTCTTATTCCTATACTTGTGCGTGTCGGCATTCTGGGTGTGAGCTTCAAGGAGACAATATAAACACTTCCGGTCTCTGTAAATATCTGACCCAAGACAAGTTCCAATTAAGGTAGTATGCATTAACTTTGCCTGCGTGCTATCATCTTCTTGCCATCAAATTAAACTTTTTGTCTTAGAATCTTTACCTTTTTTCGTGGGCGAAACCCCCTGGTCATTTCCTGTCGCAAAAAGATTGTAAACAACGTTTACATCCAACAACTGTGATCAATGACTGGTGAAGCCAACAGGATCAAACAGATCGAGTTGTATCACTCCTTTTGAAATTCTCTTGAAAATAAATTTCAAGGTGCATTTGCCTTCCAGATAGTTTTTGTTCTGGATGCCATTCATTGTTATTTCTTCCTTTGAACGAAATTGGACAATTTAATATTTATGCCCTTTCTAATGACATTTAAGTAAAACTGAACGAGCTCACTAACCTTCAGAAACCTTGCGTGGCTGTTTGGGTGTTACGGTATTTGGAACTAAGAAACACAAAAACATCAATTGGGTTACGAAATTCTCAACTTGGAAGTGACTGTCTAATGTTGCATCGTCAATTGTCCTGGTTGAAACTTACACTTTTGCACAATAGTTAAAATAACTGATCGATTTAAATGAACATTGGAATCGACGCTATATACGATTGGGGTGTTTTTCTTTGCAGAAATGCAGACGTTCATGAATTTTGAAACCAGTTTTTGGATGGAACAATTTGATCCAGAGCCTTGTGTAAATGTTTTCGTTCTCCAAATCAATGGGTCTATTTAGTACACAACTGCGCGACGTAGGCTTCGTGGCAGCTTCGTAGAATAACACACTGATTGCGTTAAGAATTTTGTTCAAAAATGTTACGACTTCACAAAATGGGCTTGCTTTTGCGAGATATTGTCACTAACCTACAACGTGAAGATAGGTACTGTCCATCTTCGATGTGCCGATCTGCCCTATGACGGTGGTGGCGACGCACACGTAAGACCCTGTGTCATTGTCCTGAACCTTCTCTATAGTTAGATCGTAGTCTCCTGACTCAGGTTGGTCCAGTAGGACAGTCCGGCCCTCCGGGAGCATCTCCGTACCGCTGACCTTTCGCCAAAGCACCGTGATGTCGATGGACGGCAAGTTGACATGGCAGCGCATGGTGACGGTCTCTCCACGTTCCAGTCGTTTGGGAGCATGGATTGTCACCATCATCTCGTCTTGATAAATATGGGATAAAATGAACACAAACACGACTTTAATGATCAATCATTTTGACAACGTAGTATACGACGAATAGAGTAGGTAGTAACTAATTCCTGTCGATCAAACCACAATCGGTGTCCAAAAGTTGGGGAAAGACAAATTTTCCCAGAAATATAAGGAACTCTCCGATTGACATGATTGTTCCTTCTACTTCTCACACCGTTACCCCCAAATCCAATTCGATTTGGCCTGCAAGAAATCACTGTACATGTACATAGTTTCAGTTTGACAGATATCAAAAAGAGAGAGGGCGTAAATCAAAAAGAAAGGTCTGTCCATCACCTTTGTTGCACTTCATGCCCGGGAACACCGCCTCGCAATGACACTTGCCCGTGTGCCGACAGAGTGCACCGGAAACACACAAATATCTCGATTTGCTGCATAAGTCAAGACATTCGGGTTCCTCGTCGGATTGCCTACTGTTTTGCCCTTTCCTTGATGCCAATACACGGGATGGCCCATCTTAGCAAGCTGGAGAGAGAAAGGAACAGCGGTTAATTCAAAAAGACTTCTTAAATTGTTTTTAAATACTACTTTCTCTACCAAATCTCTGCCAACGTTACCTTTAATAGATTCCACCGTGTGTTCGATTCAGTAATGAATTATGTGTCATAACCAAGCATTGATTCCTTAGGAACTGCATGCATTCGACTGCATGTGATTAATTCGACATCCCCCGACTAAATGTTTTTGTGTATTGTGTGAACATGCATGGACAAAAATAGTAAGCTGCAAGTAAAGGATTGGCCACATAGGCCTGAAGGCAACTGTTACATTTCTAAACGAAAGCCCGGATTTCTAATATCTTGGTAAGGATAAAGAGGGTTCTTACTCTGCAAGGCACAAACAGTACGGAAAATGTTCGAACAGTGAACTGACATCTACCGACCGTTGGCATTCTCGTACGTGTAGTCTAGAGCTGCGCAGTGCAGCTAATCTCGCCTGGGGTCCCTATCGACGTCTTCCCATCTTTCGAAACTTTGGGGGTACGAATGGAAATCGACGATAGGTAAAATATTTCGAATATACTAATAAGGCAAGGTTGATTACAAGATAAGGTTTTGTCTGATGTCGATGTCGAAAGCTTTTGACGTGCAGAATCCGTAGGCCTGTAAGCCTGATGTTTTCCTTTTTTGAGTTATAATGAATGCATTTTAGTGGTTGGAAGCCTAAAAGATTTCACAATCTGGTTAAATTTTGTACTCAAGACAAAAGGTGTGGGAGGATGATTCAATAGCCCATCCCCCACCTCAGCAAGTGTGGGAGGATGATTCAATAGCCCATCCCCCACCTCAACAAGTGTGGGAGGAGGATTCAATAGCCCATCCCCCACCTCAACAAGTGAGGCGAGGATGATTCAATAGCCCATCCCCCACCTCAACAAGTGTGGGAGGAGGATTCAATAGCCCATCCCCCACCTCAACAAGTGTGGGAGGATGATTCAATAGCCCATCCCCCACCTCTACAAGTGTGGGAGGAGGATTCAATGGCCTATCCACCACCTCAACAAGTGTGGGAGGAGGATTCAATAACCTATCCACCACCTCAACAAGTCTGGGAGGATGATTCAATAGCCCATCCCCTACCTCAACAAGTGTGGGAGGAGGGTTCAATAGCCCATCCCCCACCTCTACAAGTGTGGGAGGAGGATTCAATGGCCTATCCACCACCTCAACAAGTGTGGAAGGAGGATTCAATAGCTTATCCACCACCTCAACAAGTGAGGAAGGATGATTCAATAGCCCATCCACCACCTCAACAATTGTGGGAGGAGGATTCAATAGGCCATCCCCCACCTCAACAAGTGTGGGAGGAGGATTCAATAGCCCATCCCCCACCTCAACAAGTGTGGGAGGAGGATTCAATAGCCCATCCTCCACCTCTACAAGTGTGGGAGGAGGATTCAATAGCCCATCCCCCACCTCTACAAGTGTGGGAGGAGGATTCAATAGCCCATCCTCCACCTCAACAAGTGTGGGAGGAGGATTCAATAGCACATCCACCACCTCAACAAGTGTGGGAGGATTCAATAGCCCATCCCCCACTTCAACAAGTGTGGGAGGAGGATTCAATAGCCCATCCCCCACCTCAATAAGTGTGGGAGGATGATTCAATAGCCTATCCACCACCTCAACAAGTGTGGGAGCAGGATTCAATAACCTATCCACCACCTCAACAAGCCTGGGAGGATGATTCAATAGCCCATCCCCTACCTCAACAAGTGTGGGAGGAGGGTTCAATAGCCCATTCCCCACCTCTACAAGTGTGGGAGGAGGATTCAATGGCCTATCCACCACCTCAACAAGTGTGGAAGGATTATTCAATAGCCCATCCCCCACCTCAACAAGTGTGGGAGGAGGATTCAATAGCTTATCCACCACCTCAACAAGTGAGGAAAGATGATTCAATAGCCCATCCCCCACCTCAACAAGTGAGGGAGGATGATTCGACAGCCCATTCCAACCTAAACAAGTGTTCGAGGATGATTCAATAGCCCACCCCCTCAAAAAGTCGGGGAGTAGTCCCTGACCCCTCCCCCGGAATTACGTCCACCCTGAGTTCAAATTATAAACATTTTCGGGCAATACGTAATAGAACCAATTTCCCCTCCCCCCAAAAATCTCGTACCGACTTTTCAGTGAAAGAAATTGTCCCCTTAAAGTGTGGAAGGCCCCGCCATACAACTCCACTTCATGTGTATTTACAGAAGAGGTCAACTGAGGCTTCAATGTGTTCTGTTATCATCAGTGAACAGTCCCATGGAATTTGCGTTCTTTTACCAACGTCAAAGCCAAACGATTTATGGCAGAATGTGCAAAACCAGTTCTACATTGACTCGGATGTGCGAACTATCAGGGCAGGGTCGCACTTGCAAACAGGACGCGGCCAGTGTTATAAACCATTCACTTAACTATAAGGGCCCATCCCCTGGGGTTCAGACTCCGCCTATCGCAGAAACCTTAAAGATGCCTGTCTCATTTTTATAGTCCATTCTTTTCGGGGCTAAGTTACCATGCCTACCGTACCCGTTAGGGTCCTGCGGACTGCCGTCTACCCAGTACCATGTATCATTCTGTTGGTAGTATAGCAGGCCAAGCCATACAGCGGGATGCACGTGGTGAGACAAAAAACGCCTGGATTATATTAAAAAAGAAACAAGGAGGATGGATGACACATTAAATGTTATCTCTTGGGACCTTTATGCATGAATCATTTTCTACCGGGCTAATCACGTATTCTTGTCAGCAAACCTGCTCACACTGAACAAAGTGTTGCTGAAATAAGAATTTACATTCATTGCTTACAAGTATCTTGTCAAGACGTCGGTCCTGACTTCATAAACCTTGTTGTAATGTGGATAAGGAATCTTCAGAAATTTAATTGCATGAAATCATTTGGAGGGGTTTTCTAAACATGCAGTGCGTCAGGTATGCAGCAGGTAGGTTGTCTTTTGAAATGGGTTTTTGGTTAGTTCTTCAAGATCAATGGCTTCCAGTCGGGCCTTAAATACTTCAAGTCAGGTGCTTCCTTAATGTACAAAGCGAGAATTTTTATTAGTTCAACAATCGACAATCGACAATAGTCTATTTCCATTATCGATGGGGGGAAATCTTGAATCGTTTTCATAGACAAAAAAGAGAAGAGAAAGATTAGAAAAGAGCAAAAGGGAGTGGTCGATAAAATGCCGTCAATCGTGAATCGGTGTTTTACAACAAACTACGGAAAACGATATTGTACACCTACAACATACAGGAAGCAGAAACTCGTTCGACATGCCAATAAGTATGCTCATGCCTGTTCGATATGCAAACAATATGTTACCGCTTTGCATAATAGCAATGGCGCCACACAAGAATATTCAAACGTACGATGTAGGCACGCATATTCTTGCTCCAACAGTCTTCCAGTAAGTCTGTGACGTCACATTAAACAAGACACCTGATTGGTTAGCAAGCATCGACTCGTCAATTTGGTATGTTTGAGAAGTCGCTCTGGTTTCCAAACGCAACGGTTTATGGACCAACCACACAGTTTGTCTGCTATCGATGTAAACTGTCAATCTAAAAGAAAATCACGTGTACGACATGTGAGGAACTCCGCCGTAGCTGTTCGTCTGCGTTACTGGGCGCTATGCTTTGTAATGCGGTGGCAATGAAACTCAAATATCCGACAGAAACAGTGTTTTACGGACGGTGTCATACCGACCCCCCCGGCAGACTACACATCTTATTGATTCTCACATTTAGCTCCGCGTCACGCACGATAACCAGCTTTACACCTTTCCCAAACTGCTCTTCGCAATCTCTGTTAGCCTTGTCCCAGTTTCCAGACTGATAAGACCAGTAGCATCGGTCACGGAAAAAGTTCCTCCATCTGGACACAACTGCTCACCACCTACAAGAGAACATTGGCCCGTGTCAGAAAACTGCAATAGTCAAAGAGTCACCGCTGTCGATTCTTTGATTCAAAAGAAAGTGAGATGGATTAGAGTCCACGTGGTTAAACATGGTCAGGAAATGAACTGACATATGACAACACTATTATAAGTCGCGTATCACTAACAGTGTCAATCATTCAGAAGAACCGATCTATCGTCCTTTAGGTTTAGAACAAACAATATAATTTAGATCGAGCGACTACGGGGGAGGGCGTTCATGTGCTCCATTGGAGGGGCCCCGGGTCTTGAAGGGCCCCTTTGAAGTCTTGAAATGAACAAACACTTCACATTATAAGACGCTGTTCATTTGCTTTTTAATGACCTCCTAGAAATTTGTGTTCACCCTGCTCCTGAGAAAAACTGTACTTACAAAACAAATTTTGCAAAACAACGATATCATAAATCTATTTAATGTCTGTGTCAAGCCACTTGACCCAAACATTTTCATCTAAAGAGAGTTATTTTATCACAGTGCCTTGTTTACAGTTCCTATGTTCTTCGCAATGACCTACAAAACAGTGCACACCAAAGTAGATTTTAACTGCGTGGTAACCAACAGCAATCCCTTTGCGTGTTTGACAATGTGTAATTTGTCCTTTTGGGGTCTTTCACAAGACTGTGTCCAAGAATGGAGAAATTAAATATATTTCCTCCATCTATGAGTCCACTTGAGACTTACGAGGCTGCACACAGATCCTGACATTGTACGAATGACATTGCGTGGCCCTCCATTTTCCTGTGCCTTTGAGTAGAACGGCGCAGTTGTTTGCGTAGTCCAGGTTCAAGGCCGAGTCACCCTCACCTGAATTGAAGTTCCTGAAAAGAAAGACCCCCAGAAGGAGACTGGCTTTCTTATTGCTTTACTATACACGTTATGTTATGTTGACCAATGGTATTGGTCACTGCATGCCCCCGGGGTCTGTGTTCCCCATTTGAAATTTTGAAATGCCCTCAACCTATGTTCCAGCTGCACATTTCATCTGCTCTTTGCGCTTCCTTTAAACAAAACACGTGGCACCCGCCGATTGTCTCCTGTTGCAGCAGTTTCTTAGTGACAATCAGGACTGTGTATTATCGGCTTTGACAACGCAGCCCAGATACAGTAGCGCAGCTGGGAAGCGGCACCGAGTGGCGGAACGCAACTGAATGAGGAAATAAGTGGCAAAATTGAGAGGCTGATAAAAACCAATCGAGACGGAACATGGATTGTAAATGCGGTGAAAAAAACGGTGAAAATCGACGATAAAGGTTCACAACAACATCACCAACCTTAATCGTACATGCAACCAATTTGCATAAGTGAAGAAAAGAAGTCAATGGACTGAATTGAAACAGTTAAATGTGTTGGAATTATATTTTTTACGCTTGTCTATTCTTGATTTTCTGTCCAGTTCGGCCCCTTAGATTTAGATGTTACCCACGACAGAATCGGATAGCTTTCTAGAAATTTCCTGAGAAAGTATCAAGGCAAGAGAGATGGTATTTCCTGCTAATTACTGAGTCAAATGAATTTGTTCAACTAAACACTTTGTTAGTGCAGCTATTCTTTTAGAAGTCTGGCAGACACAATAGAGGGCGCTATTTGGTTTGAATAAAACCTTTTGTGTTTGCTCCAAATTTACCCACTTCAAATAAAGCCCTCCTATTGCGTCCGCCATTCTTCTAAAAGGCTAATTGAAATAAAATGTATTTTGACACTGGAAAATGTATTTAGATTCGTTCCCTTACGTTCGTAAAATCTGCTATCGTGTTAAAACAAAACAATACTTTTGTGTTGCAACGGGGTCCATGGGCTTTGTACACCCTTGAGGGCAAACAGTACCCTCGGCCTCCACCCAGGTGTCATTTGCCCCATCGAGCGTACAAAACACCAAGGACCCCTACACAGCAGGTAATCGTCATATAATGTACAATTTGGGATATGATGTAATAACAGGGTGCCCTCCCAGGTAGCCGCGGGAGCTACAACATTATAGGTTACAGGCCGGCGAATAAGCTGGAATAGCCAACAGTTATATAAATACCTAAACTTCAGGAAAAATACTTCAGAGTTGCTTAGGCGTTCGAGACACACATCAAATTAAAACCAGAATCTACTGAGGAGCAGGAAAAGTACAGTTGTACTATGACCCTTTCGGCATAAGTTTCACCAAGAGGGCGTTTTTTGTACCTAGAGGGCACGCGTTGTAGCTCAGATCTAGGAAAAGTCAAACAGGAAATAAACTACGTGTAGAAAGAAAACAAACTCAACAGGAAAACATATTCATGCTTTGGTCAGACCTCTAGTGTTCGCTTAAAATAAACCCAAATACATGTACATTAACTGAGTTTTATAAGAGAATGCTGCGTGTACGTAGCTATTGCATTGCCGGTCTGGCCTTGCAAGTTTTTGTGAGACGAGGGTTGCAGATTCACAGACAAACTAAGAAAATGCACTCACTTGAAAAAAAATCAAGAAAATACAACTTTCTCAATTATCTGGAACACGCATTAACTGCCATTAACTGTCATTAACTACTCAAGTTTTACCGGGTAATCTGATGACTTCGCCATTTGAATATTGGTTTCTACACTCCATTGCGAAATAGAGAATTTGTATGGCACTGATTTCAAGAAAATCTCACACTGACGCAAGCTGACAGTCCTGTGGGTAGCTTCATTCAACTTTCTGTTTCCCAAACCCTCAGGTTTATTGGCTTAATGCTAAATTAATATAAGAGAGAATTGCAAGGTATGTATACTGTGATTCGGCTGCAACCAAAGGATTTCGCTCTGTTCATAAATTACTAACGTGTAGTTGAAAGGAGTGTTGTCCGCCCATCTCCAGTTGCCCTCTTCGGGGGTGTCATACAGCCCAGTAGTAGGGATTGGAGAGTTCTGGAGCACACATCCCTTTTTGCCCCGTTTTTGCCCAAAACTCCTGGGTACTACATCGACTAAAAAAATCGCGGAAATAGTTTTGACGAGAAAAAATGGGAAAACCATAAATGACTCGAAATCCCGGGTTTTGCCCCAAAAACCCCCTAAGTACCATATCGACAAAAAGGACATTTTTAAAAAATATAGACATTCTAGGGGATAAATCTATTTTACGTGGCTCCCCTTTGCTGGTGTGTTGGGTGACCTTTGGCCTACATCCGATCTACTTGCTGGGAATTATTTTGGTGATTTAGTAGAATAACTTACGGTGTATTGAACCGCCAGCGTTTACAACCACCTTAAATAAATGCTCTTTATATAAAAATAGTAGTATTAAAAAAAACATGTTGAATAAAAATGGAAAAAATTTTAGAGACTTATATAAAAATAGAGACATGAGCAGCTAAGAACAAAGACCTCTGTTAAAATATTTTATTCGATATAAGTAGCCGTTTTTAGAAGATTTTGTCAAACAGTATAACGTTCCGCTACTTGCGCCAAAAGGGAAACATCATACACGATTAGAACTAATAAACGCTATCAAAGAGGATCAAAAACAATTTAGGTATCTCCCGCGTCAGTCATATCGGCAGCTGTTGAAAACGGTACAAAAATATAATATTCCTTTTGCAAACAAAGACAGATATGTCAAACAGGACTTTATCGATGCGATTAAAGCTTACACTCAGCCCGAGGAAATTGCGGAAGTAGATATCAGAAGCATCAATCGTTTTCAAGGTAACTTTCGCAATTGGGAGTTGATTCCTCGTTTTTTTTTAAATATGACCTCATCCGCTTTTTTGATTTTTACAAAACTTTCATCGAGAAAAAAGCTTTAGAAGAACTGTCAGAAATTGGTTTGTACAAATTGCAAACGGCTCTAAAAGTTCAGTTTAGATTGGAAAAACCTGAAAAAACTGAATTTGGCGTTTTCCCCTTTTTTAGCGACAACGATGCCGTCGCAAACAAGGCCGACGTTAAAAACGCAGTCGCCAAACAACGCGAAGCACAAATTGAAGATGTTGAAGCTCATACACAAAAAGGCTCGGGTTGGATCTTTGACAAAGTCGTCGCTTTTTATATCAACGTGGTTAAATATAATCCAGTGGGTTCTTCTTACATTCTGTTGCCTAAGGAACTGTTAGACAAAAAAGCAATCATAAACGTCCAAAATAAAGATCAAGAATGTATCCGATGGGCGTTGCGGGCAGCTTTAAAATTATATTCAGACGGCGTCAAAAGTCAGCTAGAAACAAATCTAAAATATAAAATAAATAAGGAGCGGCCTTCGACTTACCGGTCAGAATAGGATGGTTTAAATTTTACAAACGTAAGCTTTCCAACGCCAATTTCACAAATCTCACGTATCGAATCGCAAAATAGCTTGGCGATCAATGTGTTTGGTTACGCCAAAAAAGACGGTCTTTACATCCTCCACAAAAGCAAGCGCTCGGAGGAACCGATCAATTTACTTTACTTTAACAAAGGTGAAAAGAGTCACTACTGTTGGATTAAAAACTTTTCTCGGTTAACGAGTGATATCGATCNATCACAACGGCCAAAAACACTGGTGTTTCAATTGCATGTCGCATTTACAAACGGAAGAAAAGTTAACCGGGCACACAGAAGATTGCCAAGGCTTAAACGTTCCCGCATGTAAAGTTGAAATGCCGGCCGAAGGTGAAAATATACTCAAGTTTAAAAATTACAAAGATAAACAAGACGCGCCTTTTGTCATTTACGCCGATTTTGAGTCGGTTTTGGAAAAACTATCGCCAGCTAAATCAAATACTATCAAAACACAGATTCACAAGCCTTGTGGATACTCATACGCGGTCGTCGGATGCGATGGAGTTTGCACTAGCCGCAAAACATTCAGAGGTCAAGACGCGGCTGTTGATTTTGTAGGGTCACTTTCTCAGGAAACAGAGAATATCAACGAAACGTTTAAAAACAAAGAGCCGTTGATCTGGTCACCCGAGTTACAAAAAATTTACGAAAATTGTAATCGCTGTTGGATCTGCGAAAAGTTGATAGATCGAGCAAAGCGAGCGGATAAATCTCACTGTCAATGAGATATTCCAAAACCACCAGAGACAAAAGAAGAAAAAATCCAGTTTTGTCATATAGTTAAAGTTGAAGGTAAAGATAAAGAGTTCAAAGAATGGGTATGTTTCGATTGTAAAAAGCCCATCAATAATTTTAGAAAAGTTTGCGATCATTGTCACGTGACGGGGAAGTACCGAGGCCCAGCGCACGCCAGTTGTAATCTCAAGTTAAGAATAGTGGTCTATCAAACACCCATTCCGGTAATTTTACATAATCTCGAGAAATACGATGCGCACTTGATTATGCAGGGCGCTCACGAATTTTACGGGAAATCAATTAAGTTGATCGCTAAAAATACCGAGAACTACATTTCGTTCTCCTTTGGCCAACTCAGGTTCTTAGACTCCTTTCATTTCATGGCGGCCTCCTTAGATCGGTTGGTTAAGAACTGTTCACCCGATGATTTTAACTTACTTTGTAAAAGGTTTACAAATAATAGTCATTTACTCTTGGAAAAGGGAATTTATCCTTACGAATATATCGACTCATTTGGCAGGTTTAAAGAAACAACCCTCCCACCTATCGACGCTTCCTATAGCTCTCTGAAGCAGGGGGGAATAACCGAGCAAGAATATGCTCGTGCAGAGACAGTATGGGAAAAATTTAATTGCCAAAACCTAGGTGACTATCACGACCTATACGTGGAAACGGACGTGTTATTGCTAGCGGCTATTTTTGAAAACTTCCCGAAGGTATGTAAACAACACTACGGCCTTGACCCAGCCAACTATTATACGTCACCGGGTCTGTCGTGGGATGCATTGTTAAAGCATTCGGGTATACAATTGGAACTACTGACAGACATTGACAAGCACTTGTTCTTTGAAAGGGCAAAAAGAGGTGGTATTTCGAGTGTGGGTGCAAAGAAATATGCAAAGGCCAATAATCC